TGATTGGCTGGACGCGCACAGATGGGCGGACATGGATGGCAAGGGCGGCGCTATCTGGGGGCCCTCGTGCATATTCGTTATTTTGGAGCGATTTTCTCGCTTCCGAGGCGACCATTTGTGCCGCGACTTCGGCATTGCTTGATAGGGGGCCTATTACCATAAGCTGCCAAACCTCAAGACCCTCAACTTGGGGTGGACGGTGCCTTTGAAGGCAGTGTCTCACCAAAATCAAAGTGTCGAGATATTTGACAGTGCAAGCCTTTTCGTCCTTGTTTAACTCAGTGCAGTCCAAAATCGCATACGATGCTCAAATCTGTTTTTTGAAAGCCACGAGAAAGCAACGCGGACGAGTTGTGCCTTCTTATCCTGGTACTCGCCACATTGGCAGCGACGCTATAGAGGTGGACTCCAAGTTGAAGGACATTCGAAAGGTGTAAGGAGAAAACCGGGAGCGTCGGCCTTGCGGGTCAAATCGCGCTTTTTGCGCCAATTTGAGGGCAAATTTCTCGGCATAGAAGGGGCCGGATCGAGTAGACTTGGGGCGATCGCCTACAGGGGGTACTCTGACGAAATATGTGGAGGCCTGCTCTACCTAAACTTTAGTAAAACACTGCCTTTAATCTAAGTACAATCGTTTTTATTCTATTGGGTTGGTGCAAAAGTAATGTGCATTTTGCGAATTCTCATTTTCGTGCTATAGCTTTCTAAATAACCTACATTTTTCAATGCGATAAAGACCTTCAGAGGTAGCAAATTTTTCGCAATACAGCGCACATCTACCCATACTCATATCGCAAACGGGCACAAAAATATGGATTAATAAGCAATCATCCAAAAAGTTTTTTTCTCAGACCTCGTCTTTGAATGATTATAACTCCCTTCAAAATTTGTTAGCGTAAATAAGTAGTCTATCTTAGCCGCGAGCTAGTAGTACAAAAAATGAAAAGGGTCCAAACAGAGATGACTTGAGAGAAGAAAAAATAAAATTTAAAGTTGCCAGCTTCCAACAATTTTTCTAGGCCTCCATATCCCAAAAGATGGATTTTGATTTCCTGCGCGCTGAACAGCTAAACACTTTTACAAAAACTGTCAAATGGAGCACAGAAATGAGCAAAGCTTTGGCGATTGTCTTCTTCAAAGGAATTTCATGGGCCACAGAACGAACAAACCAGTATCCAGCTTAAGGCGCCGAAATCTCAGTCTGGGTAATAGTTAGAAAAATAATAAAGCGTGCATAATGTAGACAATTTCTATTACATACAGTATTCTTTTTCGAAAGAATGCTTTCAAAATGAAGTGAAATTTTGGTTTTAAATGCGGGTATGTCAAGCTCTACAATTTCTAAACGAATGAGGCTAGAAGTCCGCTTTAACCACCCTTGGATAAAGCATGAAAAGAGCTTCTGACAGTTCGCCAAGCTTCTCTTTGAAAAAAATTGATGAGAAAAGCCGTCCTAGAACAAGGGCTAGAAAAACGCGCACTACTTTTGCACCAACCGATAAGGACCCCATTTTTAGTCGAAAAATCCACAAATGAGCTTTAGCGTTATGGAAATGGCATTCTCTGTTCAATAAAAAACGTTCGGATAACGGAAAAGTACCGAAAGACCAGAGCCGACGGGGCATTTGGCTCTGGTCGTGGATCTCCGCGGGGTCTCAACGAAACCCTGCAACATTATATATCATTCTAATCGTCATGACATGGCGAAGAACACTGATGATAATGTCCCAAGCGTTGAAAAACACTCGTTAGCGAGAAAGACCAGCATTTTCGTATGAGAGTCTCTGCGCAAGAAGCGCAGTTCCGCGTTTTTATCCAACTCCAACATCTTCCCTAAACTTCTAAAACTCAATTTTAGTCAAATAGAAGGCTAAATTAAAGATGTTGTCCTGAATTTCTGGGGAAACGTTCAAGGTAACCTTCTTGTTAGCGTAAAAAAAGGCTATATAAACGCAAATTCTCGGTTTCGCTGAGATAATCTAAAGATATTATTCCCTACTAGATGGCAAACCCGGCTCCACCCGGGGCCAAACTTTGCACACATACACTTCGGGGCAGGGAGCGTGTCATAGTCCACTTTTCGTTATCGATCGATGTCGATTTCACCGATTTTTTGCAAATTTTGAGCTACGGGGCTGGGATTTTGCACAGGGGGGTAATCGAACGAATGTTCGATTACCCCCCTGTGCAAAATCCCAGCCCCCTAGCTCAAATTTTGCAAAAAATCGGTGAAATCGATATCGATCGATAACGAAAAGTGGACTATGACACGCTCCCTGCCCCGAAGTATATGTGTGCCAAGTTTGGTCCCGATCGGTTCAGAAATAAAAATTTCTATTCCGCACATACGTACAGACAGACATACAGACATACATACAGACAGACATTCAGCTTTATATATAAGATATTCGCTTCATCCACACTCATTCCGATATCGTCAGAATGTAACATCCGGGGCTTCGCCCCATATGGCTTTTTTAGGTGAAGCTTGTGTTCTATAATAGCGCTCAAAAGTGAAGGTTACCAGCATACCTTCGATACATAGAGCCATGTACTCTGGTAACCTTCACTTTGAGCGTCATTTAGAACACAACCTTCACCTGGGGAGAAGTACAGAAGTCATCCGGGGCGAAGCCCCGGAAATTATGACATAACTAATGACATAACCGTATAGGGATGAATTCAAATGAGGCAAATATAGCAGTGACATTCAAAAGAAGCTCAAAAAACCGAAGGATTACGTTTTTATGGCCTTTTTTGTTGAGAAGAAGATTTTTATTCAAAAATTCTATCAAAAACTAGGGCAAAATTTCTCAATTAACCTTTCTCTGAACTGCGGTTGAATGTTGGAAGTTCATTAAAGCCGCTAGAGTTCAATAAAAACGAAAAACTGCGCTCAAATCTTGCGCAAAGAGTCGCCATATGAATGCTGGTCTATCTCGTTATGGAGTGATTTTCAAGACCCGCGACGTTGTCAGTGCTCCTGGCCGTCTCATGAGGATCACAACGATATGTAATTTTGCAGGATTTCGTTGAGACCCTGCGGAGATCCACGACCAGAGCCAAATGCCCCGTCGGCTCTGGTCTGTCTCCGCTGCTCGTCTGCGTCTCCGCGCGCTGCGCGCTACCTCGCTACCTCAAATGCGGGGCGCGGGGCATTTGGCTCTGGTACCCTTTTCTTCGTTGTTCGGAGCCCAATTTCGATAATCTATATATCATATCAAAGCTCTTGATCTCTATTTTCACGCTGACAACGTCGTGGAACTTCTTTTTAGGAATTAAACGAGAAATCCTCGAAAAACGGCGTTTTCGAAAACCTCTCGTTTTTTCTTCAGCTTAACTTTTTTCACTCGGTTTTTTTGTGCATTCGATAGGTCTTGTTTCTGTCTATGATGTAGACAACGTCGCCGAGCTTACTTCTTCGCTTATGCCGGTTTTTTTTTGTGAAAAATACAAAAAAAGTGCGTTTTTCTTTACCTTGTTCTCTTTCTGTGCTTTTGCAGCAAATTTTTTCCAGTTTGGACGATACTTGCTCAGAATGCTGGGCGGAATAATCCAGACAACGTCGCAGCGTACGAAACGACTATGCGTAGGTGAAAATTTAAAGGACGCATCAAAAATCAGATTGGCGTCGATGTGCAACACAACTTTACAGGTTTAACATGTTCAATTCAGTTGTTGACAAGTTCTTCTTTTCGGTCTCCCAACTAACGCCACAGCTAAACAGCGCTTTTTTGACTGGAAAAGAACTTTGTTGTTGTTGCCACCCAATTTTACCGGCAATCCTGGAGCTCTGCGTAGGAAACCACCAAGTTAAGGTTTCAGATTTGGTGATGTGCTAACCTCTGCTTTATATGAATTTTCTAAGTTTTCTAATTTAATTTGTATCTCTAAATTTTCGTCTGTTTTTCTGAAACAACCTTCACTTTTTATAGGGGGCAAGAACTCAAACAACTATCACTTTCTAGCTCTTGTCTCTTGACTATCGAAGGTATGGTTACCAGAGTACATGGCTCTATGTATCGAGGGTATGCTCTGGAACGTAATATAGTTGGACTAATTAGCCCTCTTTCAAAGAAAAATGACATATTTTACTCAAGTCGTGAGTTTCTCAAGATTTCATTTATTTCGCAAGACAACATGCATTTGTAGGTGTACTATCCCGATGTAAACTACGCAGCTGAGCTTCGAGGCTTCGTGATGCATTGTTGAAGAAAATTGGCGAAACCGAGTGTGGTGAAAAGGGAAAAACTCAAAATTGCTTCACCAGGATCGTCAAATGCTGTAGGTTTTGTTATTTGTATAGCTAGTCTTGCGCGACTGTATTCTATCTTCTAGAACCTATAAAGTTCCAAATTTTATATTTGTACAGATCGCAGATCGTTGTCAGCGACGGAGGAACATGCGCATTACTACGAAACGGAAAATTCATGTCTCTCATAGTTGATGTGCCAAAGGATGAAGATCTTGAGCAATATTGTCGTTTCTTCTGCAAAAATGTTCTACGAGTAAGACCACCTATCCTTACAAGCACAGCTTGTTGTATCCATATATGCGTGTTTACGCGTGTTGCTTGAAGAAAAGCGAACGTCGTGTTTTGTCAAATCATTTCCTTTCAAATAGAATGAAGAAGTTCAAAAATCCGACGCTTATCCAGCTTACCACGGTAGAGGACTGTAAATAAGCACTGGAAACACATTCAAGTCATGGTCGAAAAGTGGCTCAGCTACTATCAGTTGCTATCTTGTCCTATGTGCAACTCATCGCCAATAATTATCTTCCGCGAACTTTCATTGCTGGATGCGATCGTTGGAACAGCATAAATAACGCCGCTATGACTTTCCGAGTAAAATGGTACAAACGCCCTTCCAGTGAAGTTGGAGTCGTTAAGGTATGAGGTCACTTCCTCGCCTGCTAAATCGATTGATGTAGCCTGATGTAACAATTTAAGTTCAACAGCGCCATTGACGCTCAGTTGGCATAGGATATATTCATCTATCATGGCTATTCAGAAGCCGAGAGACATAGCTGCTTTGGTGGTGAGACGATAAGTTCTTCAAGTATGAACATTTTATTCACGTTTTAAGTGTACTTTTCTTAATCGAGCTATATTTTAGAAGGCAATTAGCACACCCGATAGCTATCAACATGATTCGCTATTTGAACATCATATGCGGGAGAACCTTGAACCTAATGATATCCACATTGTCAGTGTCTATCTGCAAAGAGTTCCCAGATCCACAGAAGAGTAAGAGAATTTCTTTTACTCACTTTAACGGATATCCAAGGTTCTTGTTTCTAGTCTGAATATGAACGTACAACAACAGAACAATGGTGCCATATCTGATTATCTGAGCCAACGTCGCATGTGGCATAGACCTATTACGTGGCTGTGGCTGGAGTGGAAAGCAGTGAACTCCGTAATTTTTGTTGATAAACCTGTTGGTCAACAAAATTCATCTATATTTTCAGTTGCTTTCCTCAAATGACCTGCCATAGCGTTGGAATAGGCTGGATATGAAAAACAATGAGGGAATCGCCACTCCTTGTGAGGCAGAGTTGATCCTTGATAATGTCGAACAAGGCCTGATCTGTTGGATTTCCTCACGGCAAGAACATGCTGCTTTCAAATTTTATGACGAAAGAACCACTTCATGTCACAAGGTCTGTCAAGTTCCTCTTGAGAGGTTTCTTGGAGGTGCTTATGTGTAAATTTTGAACAAATCATCTTCTAGCTCTTCATCAAGCCAATCTACTGCATAACAGTCCCAGTCACAAGAGAAGTACGGGTTGCTTGCGGCACTTTCATAAGGTGGAGTCACTTTTTGATTGCTTTGGCTGTGTTGTAAGTCGCTTTTGATGTAGGCAACTAAACGAAGAATAAACGGCGGCAGCTTACGCCACAAACGACAAAATGCAGTGCATGAGAATTGTTGATCTGACATGGAGTAAGGGGTTACAATAACTGTGATGACGTTGATACCAGTATAGGAGGACTGAGCGTGCAAGGATGGCCAGTACGGTAAGCCTGTACCAAGTTTAGATCTTGAGCTGTCAAAGCGAAAGTATGGTATTTTTTCGCAAGAAAACTAATATCCTCCATTTTAGCCGTGTCCAAGAGATCCAAAAATCCAAAAACCATAGATAAGGGATAAAGCGTACCTTTTTTAATCACTTGAGTAGAGCTGCAGAAAAGTTCTCCTTGGTTCCTCTCGGTCTTCCCGTAGAGCATATCATTCGACGACTTCTTGGGATGAATACCTGCTTTCCCGTCATACATGATTTCAAAAGGCGCGCCATCCAGCCCAGACCATAGGTAGCTAATCAGCATCAAGCGATTGCCGCAACCTCGCCTAGACATTCGTCGATGGGATGTGAGGTTCAAAAGGCACTGCCGCTCCATGCGCCTACTAGCGGCAACGTCACTCGTTGTTGAGCGATTTAGCCATCTCTCTATAATAAAGCGCTAGAGATGACTCATGCATGTAAGATACCCACCCCCTTCGTGGTCGCGATTCGGATGTCAACAACTTTGTCGTTATGTGCTGGTGCAGATGCACCGAGCTGTGGCTCATGATGATATTGGCGCCCGTCTTAGATGATGTTAATCGAGAAGCCCAACCAGCAAAGTGACTCGATAGACAAGCTAAATGCTGGAAAGGGGGACGGTTACTTAGTCCTGTTCTCGTTATGCATTAGATTATCTCACTATATCAGGTAGCGAGCAGCAATACCAACTTCCGCTAGCAAGGTTTTGAAATTTCGGAAAACATCAGTCAAAATATAGAAAGCATATTGGACGAAGTACATAAATCATTGTGAGTTGAAGGAAAGCAAGATGGAAGTTTCCAATGCGGAAGTACGGAAAATGTGGTTTGAATACCACAAAATTGAAATTGGGGTAGAGTAGAGGAAGATGATACGAAAGATTGGAGGGGGCAGAGTGGAGCGGGCAAACTTGGAGAGATTTGCACTTTGACTCCAGCAAAGGTATACGCACGTTTCCAAGCAAATCAGAAATCAAAGTTTTGAGTGGTTCTGACAGGAGAAGCTCAAGAATGGTTTTTGGGATGTAGTCGAATCGAAAGGTAAATGAATACTAGCAAAATGTGGCGCAAACAATTTGATATTGCTATATTTACATATTGATATTAGGGACATTCAGACATTTTTAATGAAAGGAATGAGTGTCAGATTTTTCCCTGATCTCAAATGGGCCGCTGACCTTTTCGCACGGTTTTTCGAGAAACATTCATTTGAGGGGAAAATAAGTAATAGAAAAGCGGAAAGTGGGTTGGAAGGTTGAGATCACTCTTGCTGGGTATACATAAACTTCTAGATTAGATTTTTTTGACGAAAAATCTAATCTAAAAACCTCAAGAATATGAATAGTGTGGCACAATTTTGAAGAAATAAGGAATTAGAAAAATGTGAAGTACTTTTGAAGGAGACTCTTCGGAAAGAAAGCAAAATTGCTTACGCTGATAAGCCTTCAGGGCAGAGGGGGGGGGGGGGAGATTGAAAACAGGGGTGGGGATTGCAGCGCAGTGTCACAGAAGAATTTTCACTTTTTTCCAAAAAGTTTTCCAGATGACCTAGATGGCAAACTAGTCCAAGTTGCACAATTTCAGCAGATTTAGCTATTTTAGACCCAGCAAGCTGATGTTCTAAAGCTGTGTATCTTCCATATGCTAAATTTTTGGGGAGCTAAGAATAGCTCTGCTGTATATTTCATTTACATCAACATGTAAAAGCTAAAGAAATTTCACTCATTTCCCGTTTTCGCTATTAGCAGATGTTTGCAGACACCCATTTCTTGACTAACCTTAAGAAGTGGCAGTGTGCCAAGCTTCTACGCCATCCCACTTCTACGCACACACATGGCCAGACCGAAGTGCCGCGAAGCGGCACTTTGGTTTGGTTAAAAATAAAGCACTGGGTGCGTAGCCTTTGGAAGCAACCGCGAGCTATCAGATAGCCCGTCGATTTTCCTCAGACAATCATATTAAATGACTATGAAATTCTCCCTAAGCAAGATTGGACATGCAGTAGTCTTTCTACTAGTTAGAACTGAATTATGAATTTGGTAAGGCACACAGTGGTCTTTCCACAAGGGAAGAAGAAGTACCTTTACAGCTGTCTCTAGTGAATTCATAGAATACAAAAGGATTCTCACGGTGGTCTTTCCACGTGATAATTAAGGTTAAAAGTGGTCTCACAGTCTCTTTTCAATAGTGAGAGCTATGGAAAAATTGGGCTCACTGCGCTTTTCCCCTAGTGTAAGTTTATATATACATACCGGTGACCACTGCAAGGAGGTTGGGGCAAACCCTTCGAAAAATGCTGTTTCAAATCTATAATTTTCTCAAATGATTTTTTGATTTATCAGTGTATGTATTGCCGCAACCAATCAATAGTGAGATTTTCGGAAATTTTCTCAGAATTTGGGTGGAAAGTGGAGCATATCGTTCTAAAATAGTGTTTTCGCTTCAAGGGTCGGGTCGTTCCCTTTCACAATGTCATACTCGCCCTCACGCTTACATATTGGGGAGAAAAATTGAATTAAAGCAGCGCAAATGCTCCAAAGGCGATATCGGAAAGTTCCTCAAAATCAAAGGGAAAATAATTCCAAAATAGCTCAGCTGATGAATGGAAAGAGCTTAAAAAAACGAACGAGAGCATAACAGCATAGTGAGATGGGTTGTGAGCGGATCAATAAATGGCTTGCTTTCATACCTAAACTTCGCAACGTCATCATCTCGCATATTTCAACACACTTGGCACGCGCTTGCGTATTTCAACACAACTACTGCAGCAGCAGAGCGTACCTGCGTGTCGTGGTCTCTCGTTCGTGCTAGAACCTCTGCGTTCTCTTGGCCTCATGAGGGATCGTTCATACCGCGCACAAAGGCGGACGAAGCCGGACGAAGCCGGACGAAGCCGGACAAAGGCGGACAAAGGCGGACAAAGCTGGACAGAGGCGGACGAAGGCGCGGTCTCGTCTCGTCTCGTTTCTCTCGACACGCACACACACTCACACGCGCCTTCGTCCGCCTTTGTCCGGCTTTGTCCGGCTTCGTCCGCCTTTGTCCGGCTTCGTCCGCCTTCGTCCGCCTTTGTCCGGCTTCGCCCGGCTTCGCCCGCCTTTGTGCGCGGTATGAACGATCCCTGATTGTACCTCGCGTCCCCGTTCTGCGACAGGCGTCTATTCAAAACAAACGTTGAAGTCATACATGTGGGCGGACCATGTAGCCGTCGCGTTTTTGGGGCTCGTTTTCATATTACAGGAGGGGAACAATGCCGGCATTGGCGTTAAAGTCTCTGAGTTTCTGTGTGAGCTTAAAAAAGGATTTAAAGAGATAAATAAGGTTTGGAATCGATGAATGGCAAAGAGAAGCTTAAAGGCGGTGGATCGGCAAAACTCAACAACTCGGGATTTTAACGCGATAGGGTCCTTATCACCCAAGTATGAAAACAGTGCAATCACGGTTGCACAGCACGCCTTCCCTGCCGAGAAAATGGCTCTCAAACTTACACGCGCAGGCCAATCTTACACGCTCCCGAACGAGTTGGCAATTTTCTCTCACCATTGGAAGCTGCCCGCTGCAATGCTAACCATTGGGTCCCGCAACGATCCAGCACCATCAGCCTTGCTCCACTCGTTCAATTCCGAAGGGCAGGGCATTGAAAAACTCATTTTCGGCGTTTTCAAGCTCTCAAAAGTGGATTTTCGGAATCAGCGTATCGAATAACCTCAGGTAAGCGAAAAGTTGACTAGGTTGAGATTTGCCGAGCCACTGCCTTTAATATGTCGGATATACGGCTTAACTTTCTCGAGTTTTTTTCTCGATCACTGATAAGTCGTATGGTTTGAAAAATCTTCTGATCAGAGCTCCACCTAGATCTCTCCAAACATTTGCCGGGAAAGAAAAAGAAAAAGAAAAAGCGATGAGAAATTGTGGAAAAATTGTACAAAGCTTAAAGGCAGCGTCGCACCAAATTGGGGGGGGGGGTACCTGGCTCTGGTATTAATGTAGTAGTAAACCCCCTAACTAAGCGAGGACAGAAGTTTGCAGCGCGAAAGGGGTCTACGAAGACTACAAATCCCCCCTCCAAGTGGCCCGAATATACTGTAGGTTCGGGCGAGTACGAGATGCATGCAAGGTAGAGACGCAGAGTCGTTGTGGGACCCTCACTCATGTCTGAGTGCGCTATGCGTGCTCGCCCTGCCTTTCGAAATCAATCTGTGGGCGGCGTTCGGGGCTACCGTAAGAATCGGGCCACTTGAGGGCTACTTGCAAACTTCGTAGACCCCTTTCGCGCTACAAACTTCCGTCGCCACTTACTTAGGCTCCCGCCAGAGTGCCGAAGTTATGCCAGCGCTACGCCAGCATTTCGATCGATACACGTGTATTTCGTTGGGACATCTACCTGCTGAGCTAGCCCCGCCCCAACGAAATACACGTGTATCGATCGAAATGCTGGCGTAGCGCTGGCATAAATTCGGCACTCTGGCGGGAGCCTTAGGGAGTCTAGTCACAACTGGTACTTCAACATCGCCATAAAAACCCGGCACCCATCTTTTTTCCTTTGAAGGCAGCATCGCCTCAAAATGATGGGTACCAGGATCTTACAGTGTTCCAATGGTAGACCTCCAGATAGTCTATCAGTGAAGTCGGGAGCGAAAGCGCTTCTGGAAAGCCCAAAATGCGCTCCGGAAGTCTTCCAGACCCAGGTTCCAGTCCAGTTCCCGCTCACTTTCAGACCCGCCCACTTCTAACATGTAGTTTGGAGCAAACGTCGACATGGAGAGCTTCCAAAAAAGGCCATTTTTGCCATTTTCAAGCACTGAAAAGCTCAGATATGGCTTCAGCATAGCGAGAATCCTCCGAAGAGGTGAAAAACCGGGAAGCGAATTTTTGCCGGGACACTGTCTTTAAGGGCAACAGACTTATCTATGTACTCCTCGCGCAAATTCTGTGAATCGATCCAAAACCGTGCGCGCATGATGATGTTAATACACGAGTACCTAAAGGTGAGCTGAAAACAGGAAGCAATATTCTGCTTTTGTCTTCTCTCTTATCTACTACAAATTTGAACAGGTGGTGAAAAGCTAAAGAGCTCGGTTGTCTTAGGGCAGCGAACAATTCATGATGGGATAATCTATAGCAGGCTAGCTGTCATCGTTGGCTCTTGATCCTTATGGTTAGTTCTATATTGTGCCGTAGACGTAGACATTGAGCTTGTCGGCCTGTATTTACAAACTAATGAGTGATTTTTCGACCCGCGCCTATTTGGATTTCTCGATCCATGTATTCACTTTCAACTTTGGCAAATTCTCAACAAAATCAGTTTAGATTTCTCTACTGCTTTAAAGCTGTCATCGTTGCTTGCTGCTCTTTGGTGTAATAGCAATCGGTAGCTATGACTAGTGACCATCATAACGTACGTAAACATATTGTTTTCAATACTTTCACATCGGAAGTACCAAGAATCTGTAGGAATTCACATATTACACTGCTTTCAAGACTAGACTTATTCAACTTCATAGGACTAGTTGGGGCAATGGATGGAAAGAAAGAATACTACTTTGGATTTCAAGTTTGACATTTGAGGACACACCTTTCATCTCACGTAAGTTTGGCTTTCACTGGCTGTCATCTTCCACTGGCACATGAAGTACGGCAACCTTGAAGAACACCTATTTCATCTTAGGTCAAATAATGGTCTTCCTAAAGGCCAGTTATGTAGATAGCGTAGATACATTGCACAACTCAAGTTTCAAATCACTGGCTTTCTTTTCTTCTGAGATTTCCTATTTTACATTTATGAATAGAAACAGAAACAAGATAAGGATTATAAAATTGTTATAAAACTAGTTTCACTTACATGTAGTACTCCAGTACCCAACAAAGCATGTAGCATTGTTAACCGTTTCATGCTTCCTTGAGTACTACTGTTGATGGGGCATCGAGGACCGTCTAAACTCGTTACTTATTTTTTTATTTGTTGATGGTAGAACCAGTGGCAATTCTACAATTCTTACAAGGATAGGATACTTGGTCGAAGTGGCGTTTCCATATAATATGTATATATCTCGTAGAGCACTGAACGCTGATTCCAAATCTGCTTTCGAATCTGCAAAGCGCTTTTGGGAGAGGAGTTATGGGAATTTTTTGAGGTAGACATTCAATGATTTGGCTAAGATAAAATAGGTGTTGAGGTCTTTTCGGCGCTTGAAAGGGGTAATGACTGACATGAGTTTATTAGATTGAAGGCCTTATCCCAAGCGCCCTGATAGCAATCATGGCCTCATTTGAACTCACGGACTAAGTTTCCGAATGATTTTATTGTAGCAGCGTTTGCAAATTTTTGCATCAAAACATAACTCCCCTCCCAAAGGCGCTTTACAGATACCAAAAGTAGGTTTGAACTCAGCGTCCCGTGCTCCATAAAACAATACACATTTTGTATGGAAACGCCACTTCGACCAAGTATCCATCCCTTGTTAGTGCCTTCCGCGTCCTGCAACAGGCACCAAAAAATGTATACAGTGTTTTCTGTAAATTCTTTGTTATTGGGATCGATAACTTTGGACTGAAAGGGCTTAGGAGGAATAACAAAGATTTGAAATATTGATTTTTTTGCTTTGGTAACCACTATGGTTATAGTACTCTATGAGTATTATATCCTAAACAAGATTTTTCTTTCATAGGTAGAGCCCTAGAATAACACAAGGTGCACGTTTATTTGCTTGGCAAGAAATAAGTACGAATTTTTTGAGTTTGTCTGCAGCTAGCAAATTCATGTGTTGACCATCCTTCGTAAATAGTAGTGCCCCAGTTCAACATCCAATATCCCTGTATTGTTTTACATGCGATTTTTGAAAGAACGATTCTATGGAAGTTGCAGATAAATCGCTTTGGAAGCCTCGATAATTGCTTCGAAATCATGTACTAGTTAGTGCAAAACAGCTAGGAGGTAGTTTCCGTACATCATTCAAAAGGTCTTATGTAGCTTCTGCCAAGAGGGTGAATCCTGCTGGCCAAAACTCACTTCTATACGATTTTTCGGTTGTGACATCCTTCTACAACTTCTAAGCATCAAATCGACACACATCCAAGAAGTGCGACGGGAGGCCATTAAAAAAACTGTGAATTAATGACGACTGATTTGCCGACTGCTGTTATTATGTTGCTTTGCTCATAAATGAAAACGAATGAGACTGACAGCAGATCTTTGGTTCGCTATAAGAATCTCTTGTGGCCTAACTGAACTCGTATGCTTATGCCATCACAACAAATTTGATTGAAAAAAGGTATGTCTTCTTCTAAGGCTTCTGCTCCTCCGTTTCCACAACTAAAGAAGAAGACTTTCCGGCTACAGCTCGAGCGAATGTCATGTTATCCACTAAATCTCCGGTTTCCTCACACTTTGTTTCTTTGTTATGATATGAACGTTTCACCATGTCTGACCGCAATTTCAAACTTCATCCAAAGAAATTTATCCGTAAGTCAATTTAAAGTAAGTGTATAATTCTAGAATGGAAACGTCGGTACCCAAACTTCATCTTCGTAGATGCAGCTGTGGAGATGTGCGGAAATGGAGGAGAAGGTATGTGAAGTAAAAATTGAACCATGGTAAATCTTTGCAAACTTCAAAATGGTGAGAAGATTTGCTTATTCCATTACAAAAATAAAATCCTGCGCACCTTTCGATTTTATGAAGTCCTCCTCTCAAACTGCAGCGGTTGACAAACTTAGTTGATAGCTCTTTCCAAGGTGCTGTAGAAACTATGAACGTTTTTGTAAAAGATTAATGCTTAGGTAGTACAGAAATAGCGATCTACATATGTGCAAATCTCACTAGTAGGAGCTTCTTTCGATTGTTTCTCCACAATTGCTGTAATATCAGATGCGTGCAAAATCAAAGTCTAGGTAATTTATGAAATTGTGACGACGGATGTGACTGCGGCCTTTGCGCCCATACGGCATAAACCACTCATACAAGTAGGCATAACCTCAGTGCTCAGCTCAGTCACTTGTGTCCTAAATACTTCGTAGGTAAGCAGAAGAACCATCCGAGTAAGGGTGAAATATAGATGATGTTGCCAGAAGTGCGTGCGTGTCGCGCGTGGTCGGGCCATCGTCACGATTTTTCGAATGCCCTATATCCTTTCCTCGCACCTATACCGGACAGTTTTTCTTCGTAAACGTCTTTCTCTCTCTCAGCGAACGTTGCACATCTCTTCCGCTTCATAGTATTTGCAACATGTTACTCTCACGGTCTATGAGACCAAAGCTGTTCAGAAGAAAAAGTCGGGAAATGCCTAACCTTGTGAGGAAGCAGGAACAAAGTTGAAATTTTCTTTTTCATACCGTTACCTACTTCCGCAAATTGCATTTTACGTAAGTATAGTTTCTGCACTTGTATGCTTTCAAACTTTTCCAATCATCTGTAAGTACACTTGAAGCAGACATGATTCCTTGTATTTAAGAAACAAATCTTGTAGCTCGTTCGCCCATCTTTATCAAAAGTTGAAGTATTTTTTTCCTTGAAACCTTCACTCCTTTGTAGCTTATCAGTTGCTGTGGTTGCGTTCCCATAGTGATTATTAGTAGTAGAATGGAAACTCATTTATGCACTCAAAATGTGCGTTGCTTCGTGCTTGTGTCACCACCTCTTTTTTGATTGTTCTCAACAAATAGAATAATTGATAGACAGCAAACCAGCTCTAATTTTCTCAAACATAAGTCGACAGCTGCCTTTCTATCCTTTCCATCATCCATATGACCAACTCACACAAAACTCAATTATCATATCAGAGTGAGTCGACACTAGAAAGTGCAAACAAGAATCTAGTCCCTTTTGTATCTGCGACTTTGAAGCATCTTGTTTTCCTTTGTCGTAAATGGTCGCAGGAATGTGTAATGGATGTTTCTTCTCTGGTACTTTGGATCTTCTTCATTAGTGCAACCGTAGATTGAATTGCTGAAAACACGATGAATCCATGCAAATTACTCTTAACAGCTTTATGCGAGGAGCGTACTCGTAGAACAAGTACTTTTATTTCTTGCGCATATTTTTCTATTCCAACTGCTATGAAAATGCCCAGTAGAGGGTCCTTCAGTCCGGTTTGAATTAGCGACCTTGATAGCTTAACATACACTAATAATTGTAAGTTCGCGTATGTCTAATAATTATTGAGAGTGCAAAACCATAAATTACTTGTGAATATAAACACTTACAGATCAAGCGTTGGTGTTGAGAGACCAAAAATGGCTAGCATAGAAGGTGAAGCCCGAACCGAGCAGAAATTTAGAGGTCTTCGAAATCGGAGGAAATCAACACCCGAGCTGGAAGATCCTTTTGATGATCCTGCACTCGTCACCAATGTGAGCATGGGCAAGTACTAACTGTTGTGATGTAATACTTAAGATTTATATCAGCTTGTTCCGTAAGTTTTGTCCTTTAACGTTCAATCGCTATAAATCATGTACTCATAGCTAAATGGGTTTCAAAGTACCATTCGATGGAGATAAGCAAGCTCTACAAATGGCGTTCTTCCTTTTGCACCGCCGAAAACTGAAAGGATTTAACTACCCAAAAAATCAAGAAAAATCTTAACTCCGTTTCAAAAAATCCTACAAAAATTCTGACATGCTCACTAAAACTCTATTCATATAAGACATTTATATACACCAATGCCGTATTTTCTTATTGAATAGAATTTATGAAAACGAAAATTTCCATGCTTTTGCCAAAGTGATGCTGTGCTGTCCCTAAACAGGCAATCGTATACTATTAGAGTGTAGAAGTGCAAAGAAAGATTTTCAGCTGCAAGAGCTCTAGTTTTCAAAAAAATATCGAATTTAGCTTCCCTTAGTCGGTTGACTTACGCTAATATCCATATTTCTCGGAAACTAGAGCATGTGTTTTCGTACTTTTACAGGCTAGTAGTATACGATTACTTGTGTGGGTACAGCACAGCATCACCTTGGCAAAAAGGATGAAAATTTTCTTTTTCATAAATTCTAATCAAGGAAAAAATACGACATTGGCGCATATAAATGTCTTATGTGAATAGAGTCTAAGTGAGCAAGTTAAAATTTTTGTAGGATTTTCTTGGAGGGAGTTACGATTTTTTTCTCAATTTTTTGGGCATTTGGATCAATTTGTTGGGTTCAAAAAAAACTGGAGCTGTTGCAACAACAAGAACACCATTCCGTAAAGCTTGCTTAGCTCTATCGAATGGTACTTTGAAGCCTATTCAGATGTAAGAAGTGCACAAGTTATTGCTATTGAAAATAAAATGGACGGAACTTAGGGGACAACCTTATAATATGAAAATTAAGTCTGGCTTCTTTGTTTTAATCTGTTTACAAACATCTCACTCTTTGCGTCAGAGACACCGCAGATATTATGAGATACTTTGGCTTGTTTCTTAAGTTTAGCGGATGTTAGGCATCTTACTGGGTGTAAGTGGTCCACTACTAGCCTGAACACTAAAATAGATTCTATAAGCGCTTTTATGCAGAAAAGTTGCTACGAATTCCCGTAAATTTGGCAAAACTATGAGTTAATTATTGGTGTGTATTTAGTTATTCCTCAATACTTACATACAATAGCAATCATTCAGTTTTCCACTGCATGTCCAAGAAGCAACTCTCAATTGTTTTGAGGAAATAATGATGTTCGTTTATGAAATCGCCGATGATTAGTAAACCTCAGACAGCTTTAAAGCAGTAGAGAAATCTAAACTGATTTTGTTGAGAATTTGCCAAAGTTGAAAGTGAATACATGGATCGAGAAATCCAAATAGGCGCGGGGCGAAAAATTACTCATTAGTTGGTAAATACAGGCCGACAAGCTCAATGTCTACGTCTACGGCACAATATACAACTAACCATAAGGAAACCTCAGTTTGAAGGATAATTCGTATATGTTCAGAATAACAGTTTCTTTGAGCGAAGATCCTGGCACCAAACTAAAGTTGTAAGGCGCGTTAAATGAAGCAGAAGTAACGGATTTTCAAAAAGAATTTAAGAAATAATCTAAGTTCCAGCTCAATAAAAGATTTTATTCAAAACTGATTTAAAACATTTAGCCTTGCAATTTCGTTGATGTGTCTGATCACATCTACTAGAAAAGAACTTTTTACCTTTTCAACCCCAGCCCCCCCCCCCCGAGAATTCGCGAAGTTTTTAAAATTTACTTATGTGGGTTATAGAAATGTGCAAGTGACTTGTTTATTCCTGTAAGTAATCAAAACAATTTTTAAAATTTTTTTAAAATTACCCTTGTAAAAAAATTTTTTCTAGGGCGTGGCTGATGCCACGCCCCCTTTTTCCAGATTTTAGGGGTTGGGATCCGTAAAAATTTTGAGAAGCACCCCAAAAAATTTTTCGGACTGCGTGGCTGACGCCATGCACCTTCATTTGAAAAATTTTTTGCCGCGCCACCCCCCCCCCCCCCCCGGTCCGAAATCCTGGGACCGCCACTGGCGTCTACATCAGGTCGCACAGGCAAATAATATAAAAAACAAAGCTTTTGTGATTTTGGGCGAGCACATTAAAGGCAGAGCCTCGGCAAAATTTCGCTGTTCAGTTTTTTATGTTTACGAAGCCTTTTCACCACGAGAAAAAAAAACCAGAACCCATATCTGGGCCCTTCTACGCATGAAAATAGGAAAAACGAGCCATTTTATAAGCTTTTCAGGCCCTCATTCAGAGAAAATACTCCGGAAGTCTCCCGCACTACGCCTCCCTCGTTCGTTTTCCGCCCATTCACAAGCATTTTCCACTAAATGAGAAACTGGGAAACTTCGAAGAAAAGCTCATTTTCGTCATCATGCGCTTAAAAGCCCAGATATGGGTTTCTCATGACGGGAAGGCTCCGAGAAAACTGAAAAGAAATTTTAGAAACTGCATTTAACAATGTAAAAACATACAGTCACAACCGTAAGTTTATGATCTCGCCTAACTCAGCAAATTATGTGCTTATCGACAGTTAGATTTTCGAAAAAAAGGCCAGAAACAGTTTCTTCGATTTATACTGCTTGTTCAAAATTCATGGAGATGTTTGATTGGAACAAGCGTTACTCAGCTGAAAAGGGTAGATTGTAAAATTTTTTGGAACGCAAAGTACTAGACTGCTGCATGAGTTCTGTCCGATTTGGATTTTCGAATTCAAAATATCTGTGTGTTGAGAAAAAATTCAAAAATCTTTAAAGATTTTACTAGCAAGACGTTTTTTCACATGAAAATGAGTATGTGCATATACTGGACAGTTTCACTCCTATTCTATGACCAATGCAAGGACTTGACTTGAAAAGCTTATTGAGAGATTTTCATTTTCAGAACATTTTCATACCTGAATACGTGTCTCGACCATCTGGGGATCATAGGCTTGCAACCTCGTCCGTCAGGCTGGGGACTTTATTGAAATATGACATGTTCTAAAAAGAGCAAAAAAAACGCGTTCCAGTAGTAAAAATAGTATTGCATTAAGATTGAAAATCTTCTAGAACGGCTGCTTTCAACCTTCAAGGCAAAAAAATTGGACAGAACTTATGCGATAGCCTGGCACATGATCAATGCCAAGTGCTGATTGCGCGAAAGAACTTTCCAACCGACCTATTGGGGAAATCCCAATTGATAGTTTGTCAAACGATACAAAGTCCATCTGAGCACTGTACCATAAATGTCTAAGCTGGTCTCATGTCCACTCTACTAAATTCTAAGACATTTTTGAAGAAATCTCCAGTCACCTAATTGATTTTTGAACTAAACAGGCCGCATATTATGTTAGGAAAAAATTATATAAACTTATGAGAATTTCAGTGGCCAATGAAATTATCGAGTAACCGTTGATCGATTTTCCTTCAAGAAACGTACCTAGATTATTGATTTGAGTTCTTACCACATTTTTGCTAGCTTCCAATGTTTTTCCTCGATAAGATTACCGCACTACTTAGTGGATATGATTGAATCTGGTGTAGTGCAGGTGCTCCAGCTTGCACTTATGACAGTACACCTTGCAGGCATTTCTCGACATAACCTGGCAGGATGCCCGAGGGAACTCCGCGCTGATGTTGGCAGCGGCAGAGAATCGAATCCTTCATGTTAAAGGGATCCTTACGATGGCTGCCCAGCGCGGTACACTTTGGCAGGTATCTGAAAAGATTGTTGTTTGCTGACAAGTAGCGTCAGATTCTTAGACGGTTGGCCCGGGAAAACTGCGACTGCAAGCTTTCAACACCTACATGACCTTCTGGATAAGCTGAGTTCCAGTGCTTTGCGTGAAAAGTCAAAAAAGTGCTTTTTACGGCGATATTCTATGGTGGAGATAACTGGAGGGGACGGGCGAGTAAATTCCGCCGTAAACAGTGACAGGCTGCGGACTGTAACTCCACCCATTTTGACGGTAATTTGATCGACTCAGGCAGCCAATTGCGATGTTGGCGGGAATCCGCCGCCCAAGCCCTCCGGCTATCTATAGGGTAGGAAAACGCCATAAAAAGCGCTTTTTTGTCTCATGTAGCTCTGGACTTAGCGCATCCAGAAGGCTGTAGGTGTGGAAAGCTCGCAGTCGCAGTTTTCTCGAGCCACTGCTTTTAAAAGGGCAAGTTTTAGGTACTGAATATGAGAAATGAAGAAGGGCTAACAGCTTTGGAAATGGCAGTGCGTGCTGGGAGTGATACATGCGCAATGCTGATTACGAAATATGCAAGGACTGCGCAAAAAACCAGGGTAAGTTATATAAAGTACCGCGCATGATAGTCAAAAAAGTCATCAAACTCCACCTAGTTTACCGAACTGCGCGTCGAATCGCCATGTTTTGGTTTAGATTGGATGAATACTGAATACAAGGGCATTGTTTAACACAAGTTGGCAAGGCGCATATAGAAGTGCCGCCTTGAATACGAAGGGCGATCAATAGATTTTTTCCTACGGTAATCTACTTAGTGTGCAATGAATAAGCACGTTAAGTAACCTACCGTAAGCAAAAACCTGAAATGATTCGCGCAATTTGACCGCCTACCGTGCAACTAACGTATGCAAATGGGCATTTCTATATGTATATCAAAAGATACTCTTCGTCGAGCTGAGTTGAAAGCTGCCTTTGAATTCAGTATTTATGCACTCTGAATCAAGCCATGGCGATTCGATGCGGACTTCGGTGAACTCCGGCGAAGTTCGGCGACTTTTGCGACTATATAGATACAGTATGTCCGATTATTCTACTCTTAGAGACATGTAACGAAATGAAAAGAAAAAATAAAGCGAAAAAAGTCTCATATGCGCAAACCTAAATTTACTCTACAACTTAACCGCAAGTGGATTACTTAACCTTCTTTTTTTGTAGATAATCATTAGTGGTTCCCTAGGAGACTTTATCAGACCGCAGTCTGACGCGATAGTGCTTGAAAAAGCGTAAAGAATGCTCAATTAGCCGTAGTGCGAAGCTGAGAACAAACACTCTGTGTCCTTAGTCTCCTGACAATGCCTAACAATTAGTGCTCATTTACTCGTTAACAATACTCTCATTAGTGTCAGAGACGCAAATAGTATAATAACCTCAAATAATGCTGTTGATTAGTGAAATGCATTCTCAATTTGATCATTACGCAGTTGGACCTTAGCTGGACTAGCAGCAAAATTACCATTCAGAGTTCACTCTTATCCCTTTTTTCTTCAACTATCCACCGATAGGACCACCCATTGTTTTTCACTACCCAATCTTCCTCTCCGTCACGAACTAGAGAAAATTTTGCATCACTATATCGAGAAACATCCATCAACATCCATCAACTAAATAAAATCGCAAATTACAGTTGGGTCACGGCTCGTTATTTTTTGGTGATAGTAGTTATTCGGGATTGCGGACTTTGTTCTCTATTCAATCCTAAAAAGCAAAAACTCCTAAGGCCTCGGGCAGAGTTCACGCGATTTGATTGTCGCGATTCAATCGCTACAAGACAAGTGTTACGAGTTCACTGCATGCCGATCTTCTTGTATTTTGGTCGTGATAGTTAATCACGTTCAGTCGCGTTGGAAAACTACCACAACTGAAATGCAAAAGATCGGCATGAAATGATATTGTTACAAATGTCTTGTCGCGATCAATCGCGACGATCAAAGCGCGTGAACTCTGCCCGAGGCCTCAAGCAACTTGCGAGTTATAATGTAAAGAATAAGACGAAAAGTACACAATCAAAATATTTTCATGGGAACTACCAGGCCACTTTTTAAAAGTGTTGGTTTAGATTAGAAATGCAGTGACTAAAGGTATAGAGATCATATTGCAAATTCCAAAAAAATCTTACGATGTGAAAATGATTGAGGTCGAAAGATCAAACACTAATATACCACGTAATGAAACTGCGTAATTATGAAACCATCAATATTAAGTGATATTTTCAACCATTGGGATCGATTATTTCAAGTCACTTTTGTATATTTTTAGTATAGAGATAAAGACGTTTTTTCAACGAAAACTGCCCCCTTTTTTGCTCCGCCATAAAGGCAAATTGTTAATTACCGTGAGCATCAATAATAATAGGAAATGTTTTCACTTCACAATGTGTAAATAATCAAAAGACTCCGTTTCGTTCCTGTCCTCAGAGTGAAAGTATTTACAGACCTCCCTCGGTACTCCTCAATAAGGAAGGAAGGTCTGTAAAATTACTTTTCAAATATGAGAAGTGTTCGTTTAGGAGTAAAAGTGTGTATATGAATCACACAGCTCATGCTGAATGCCCATAATGCATTGAAAAATGCATTGGCTGCAATCTTTTGCATGCTGAATTACCTATCTTTGCTTTCTCCGACAACAGCAAAGGGCAGCACGCATCGCATGCTTAGTTATTGACGTAAATATGACGACTTAATTTTGCTTGCACTTTATGAATAGTACCTTATTTTCTAGCAAATCGTGTAAATCACAGCGCAGCTTGTCATTTGATCATCTCATCTGCTTGGTTCATGAGGCTGCTGGATTTGCACAAAATTCAGTTACTGAGCTAGCGCAAAGTACTTTGTATTCGTAGCTGAAACTACATATGGTTTTGTTCATTTTCAACAAGTTTCCATGACTAATTGTATTTCGAGACGAAGTGGTTTTTTACATCAGCATACAATGGAGTTCATGAATTCGAAAAAAAACCGATCTCACCGATCCTAAAAAGTTGAAAAAATTCCGCCTCGTAGCTGCGATTTGTTAGAAGATCTCTAAAATCGCATACAAAGGCTAAGCGTGACTTCATTTGGTAACAAAAATCTAAAATCTTCCTTCAGATTTCAGAGTTTTTTCAACTTGTCGTAATTTCGTATGCAAATACGGAACTTGTTAGAATTATAGGGCTAAGACTTTACATACGAACAGTCTCGGCCTAAGCTTACAGCGTCGTTGAAACTTAGCAAATCAAATAGACAAATTCAAGTGATTTAACCTCTTAATCCTGACTATAGGAAAGTGCGATCAGTGTACACATGGTATAAGCTTAATCTCTTGAAAGTTGGAGATGTAGACAATTGAGATTTTTACGAAAACGAAAATTTACGCCTTGCTACTCCTACACGATTTCTGTTTTCTGAGCTATCAAAAGGGTTCAAGAATCAGCCATGTAGACATTTGAATCGTTGATTCTTTGAGGCTAGGAATTAGATTGTGAGATGGTAATTAGCGTCTAATTAGCATCACTTTTGATAACGCGAACTCACTCAAATATATCCTCAAATGAACGTAGTAATCTCTATGAAGCATAGCTTCTGCCAAGGTAACCCACCGATGAGTTAAATTCTGCCTTTGACCAAAGAGAATGAACAAGAAGTATCTAAACATTCTCTATAGTTTTGGGTTTACAGAAAGACTATCACATTTGCTCTGAATTGTTTAAGCGTGCAACACAAAAATTTGGGATGACGCATACAGTTCCTTGACAAGGAAAGGCTTAAAAGCTGCAAGCTGAATTTTTACTTCCAGACGGAAGTTCCACGTGGCACCGGGAAAATTTAACGAAGTCTCCTTTAATCTTGAAAATTTCGTACGAAGTCCCCTTTGACCCTAAACCCTAAGCTAAAAAAAACCCTCAAAAAACGAAACGTCGACTAAAAAGCCTTGCAATTTTTGTCTTTTCGGCCACATAAACGATACCCAGGCTAACCCACCACCTGTGCCGAGCCATGCTTCTAGAATATTGCCTTTTCAGAAAGGTCAAACCGGAAGGGCATAATTCACTTTTGTGGATGACTTGCTTCAGTGTTTGAGTCCACTGGGTGCTACCTTGAAGGCATAGTCATAGCACGGTAAACTCAACCTTATACTTTGGTGATTTAACGTCCATGGAATAAAAAAGAATTTAGAATGGAAAAGTGAAGTTATTTTACGCATCAAAAGTTAGTAAATTCATGTTGTTGGTGTATAATTATAGTGAATAATTTTGAACTTCGCCTTTGAACTATTAGGAGGTCCCAAAAGAAAAAAAATATATTTTTTCAAACTTTCTACGCACAAGCGCTGAAAAAATGAGCTAGATTTCATGCGGCATTTGCGACCACAATGGGAGGTGTTTTGAGAAAACCGACTTCTGCTACAAGCTAGAGCTTCGACTGTAAATATATATCATTAAGCACTCTTATCTGCTTACGTCGTTTTTGTCGCATAATGCACTGTGAAGCTTTAGACATGTTGGAACAAACAATCACGCTTCTCTTTCCGCAGCTATCAAATATCCAATGTATTCAAAAGACCATACTACGAAAAAAATTAGCTCCGCCCCTTTATTGAGAAGTCAAGTTGCTATGGTCGCTATGTGAGTTCTACAGCATTACCTTTTAATATGTGTTGAAAGCACAAACTTTGCAAGTTTTCACGTGCTCGTTACATTGACAAATTACCTTTTGAAGATTTTTTTTACCAATGTTCTTAATTTTCTATTGCTAGTGCTTATCTTGAAAAGAAAGCAATTTTCCTTAAAAATTTATATACACCGTTAGCATCTTTTTTTGGCCCGACTAAAACGCTGAGAATCACCGCATCAAATTTTACGTTCATAATTCAAAGCCTAGAAACTTTCCCGCTTAACACAGTGACGACAACGTAACCCACTTGATGGGTCATGCAGTGTCTGCCACCTGGGACAGTGTGACCCACATGGTGAGTCATGGCTTAAATTTCGTTAAAGAGACTGCTATTTTGGAGTGCGTTCATTTCAGAAGTTCTCTTACGACTTTAACTCTAGTTGAGAATTTTCCAATTTATGGAAGGCATTTTCCCAAGTGGCACACAACTAAAAAAGTTGTCGTCAACTTGTTAATTAGAGTGTGCTTGCAGTTTGCGGTAGAATTTGCGCGTGACAAAAAGCTATACCAGTAATGCCGGCTACTTGCACGCGCAAGATGGATTTGTATTAGCTCGATTTTGTCAAAGGCTTACTCTTTCCCTCCGTTCATTCAGTCAAAAACCGAAAAATCGTGGAAAAAAATTTTGAGCTTTTCCGGGTAAAAAAATTACGCAAAATTTTTTTTATTCTCAGTTTATCTAAGGGCATCATGCAGCTATGTCGTTCATTCATACAACTCAGCACTTCAGCCGACAACTTAGCCTCAAGGTTGGATAAACTGAGAATAAAAATGATGTCATTCTCTGAAACATGCCAATTAGCTCTATAGTAATGTTATATCTCCTTGTCTGCATGGTAACCTTACCCACTTGTCACAATCGATAGCTTCGCTTGAAATGTTGTTAT